CCAGTATCACGTGACCATATAGCAGGCTCAAGTTTAGATCTCATTGAGGTCGTGTATTGGTTTTTCGACTGGAGCGAGGGCTCAGGCCAGGTTAACTTACTGTAATCAGGGTCGGGTTGTTCGGAAGCTGGTTAATGCTAGCCCAGGATTAAAAGTTCACCAAAGTATAAAACTTTCTTAAATAAAAATGTTTGTGTTTTTTGAGATCATTCAAACTCAGAAGGCCAAACAATATAAACAGAAAACTTCACCGCAAAGTGAAAAAAAAACCCTCAATTCAAAATCCTCGCTTATCCTGTATTAGCTTCATCAGGCTCTGAACAACCCAGCCCAGGAGCTTCGCTTTTAGGCTTGGCTAAATCTATATTATTAAACAGAGGGCAAACAAACATCCGTAACATGTAACACGCAGGCAGTGTCAACCCTACAAAGTCACTTAAATCTTTGGAAAGAGAAATACATGCATTTTGCTTCCGGCATTCCTGAAATAAGTCAGTTACTATCACAGAGTGAGACATCATGAGTACTGAGTAAAACGTATCTGTAACGTGTAACATTGTGCTGAATTTCAAATTAAGAGAAACTTGATATGTAATATCATGATAGCCAAGTAGGCAAATCAATTTAACATGAAATATTCTAAGGGGGGTGAGGGAACTTGCATTAATCATGCATCTATCAATGTTAAGCCAAAGGCAGGGAGGGAGGGAGTACAAGCAAAGGGTGAGGATTTTGGCATCCCCGAAAAAGTCAAACACCCCCTTTCCCCAGGAAACACGATTGGTCAAACAAAATAGAAAAATACATGTGAAAATGCAAAAATTCCCCCGCCCACAATGTTCAAATCTATACCCTCGGGAAGGTTGTGTCAATCAAATCCACACCCCTTGGCTGTCCCTCTCCTGTTGGGCTTAACATTAATAGGCGCATCAATGAAACAAAACAAAACAAAACAAAAAAACCAACCTGAACCCACCAACTTCAGATGACACCATATCCAGGAGTTCCATCTCGACCAGCTCTACAGATCTTCATGAAATGCTGGGTTCAAACCCTAAACACAACGTCTGTGTAATCTTAAAATCAAAAGCTATATCAATATTGAACTCAAAGGTACATAAATACAAAGTCCGAAAATTAAAAATGTTATTCCATCTTGCAACTTTACAGATCTCACAATTACAAAAACCAGAATTTGCAATTCTTGGCTTGGTTCAGCTGTTGGAAGAGTAGCCAAATTAATTTTAGGAGAGATCTACTTAAACCTTGCTGGCTGCGTGGGCTCCAACGAAATCACGGTTGCGTTAAAAGCCGCCCTGTCCGGCACGCTGCACTATAACGATTTTTAACGCATGCGTTAAAAATCGGCGTTAAGAATCGGCTTGTGTTAACCGTAGAAAACTCTTAGCCACGAACGTGAAAGTCTACTGAAGATCCCGTGTCAAGACATTTTTGTGTCTTGTCTTGTGGCTTGGTAGTACATTCGGCAACAACTTATAACAATACCTTTTTTCATCTCGGAATTGTCTTAAGAGCTTAAGGTAATTCCCCTGAAATAAAACTGCCCATAGATTTTTGTTCAAACTCTATCCAATGAATATTTATCATATGAGAACTTAAATTATAAAATAAAAAAGGGGGGTGCCCATACTCGTTAAGGAGCAGTGAGGCATTGAAAATGTCCCATTTTAGCGTTATTTAATGCTTATCACAAGAACGCATTCCGAGTTATTGTAAACTCTTTGTGAGCCCAGACTCATGAAAACACGCCTCAAACTACAATAAAAACTTGTGTTGGACACAAATAAACTTTTTAAGTTTGATTTGACAGACAGCTGAGTCTTTGTTAAAATATTGGAACCAAATTGCTTGCCACGGCTATCAAACTGCAAAATAGGAAAAACTACAGTGCAGCTTCTATTTTCCTTATTTATTCAATTTTCAAACATAGAAATCAGATCAGTCTTTTCTCACGCAAAGTTAATGATTAGTTGATTAAAAGGACTGGAAAAAAAAATTTGGGGTGCCCGAGCTCGTTAGTGAGCTATAGCCATTTTTCAACCGACAGAACTCAATATCAAGGCAAATCCGCCATGTTTTCAATGTGCGCGTGCACGAACGCGCGCTAATGGCGCCATAAATTATGTGCAGTAAGGATGCGCAATGCAATACTGGGGAATGACCTCAAATAAGTTTTAAAATAGTCAAAATACATTTTTAACTTTTTGAAACAGTGAAAATTAATTTTTAACTTTTCAAAACAATGATAAGTAAATTCTAAGATTTCTGTTAACAGTTAGGAAAATAAATTAACCGTCAGCCGTAAAAAGGCTAAATCATTAACAGTTCAGCCTGGTTTTCATTAGCGACGCAAGCACAAGCGCAAGCACAAACGCAAGCAATAGGGATGACCCTAGTGAAAACGAAATTCGACTCCAGCACAGACACGAGCAAAATCATCCGAGACTTCCACCATTTTGGAAAACTGTTTAGGCGCGAGGTTATCTGGATCCAGTGTTTTCATTGGCCAAACATAACCACGTGTGGTATATATCCTTGTGTTTGTGTTTTGCCTGAGCGGTTTTTCGTTTCCACTTGTTGCAGCGCAAACGCAAGCATAAGCTCAAGCGCAAGAAAAAGGAAACATTTTGATCCCTGTGTTTGTGCTTGCGCTTGTACTTATTCCTGCGTCAAGGCTGTTTTCACAGTGAAATGAGAATTATTGCACTTGCGCTTGTGCTTGCGTCACTAGTGAAAACCTGGCTTAGTCGTGAAAGCCACCGCCCAATTAAAACCTCTTGATTATACTGCCATATTTATATAAGACAGCATTTGTTGCATTATAATTGAATAAAAATTAAACTGAATTTTAAAATTTGGGGTTGAATAGCAGGTATTGAGGGTGCGTTTTGGAGTAAGATTGAAAAAAAGAAATTGACTTTGTTAATTAATCTTTTATTCATCTTTGTCTCGACGAAAGCTATCTTTCACATCTTTACACAGGGCTTTTCTTCGTCATGTTTCGTTTCAATAATTATACTACATCTAGCTGGGTAAGAAAGAACGACTAACTGCATAGTCTAGACATGGAAATCAATACATGCGATAATTTTGTGAGCTGTATCCTATAACTTACAATGACATTTTATTCTAGCTCGCCAACTTCACTGTGTTACAACACACTTTTATTTGTTTAATTTCTGCCAAGTTTTGATTAAAAATGTTTTGTGAATATTCTTAGATTATTGGTTATGTCATTTCCGTTTTATTGACTTTGGTCGCTTTGAAGTAATTTTGGAGCCACACTGCAAGCACTAAAGCCTGATATGACACACAAAACGTCTTGCAGAAATGTTATTAGCAACAAACATACGGTTATAGTTAGCGTTGTCTTTGTTTTTGTTGTTTTTATTGGTTATTTTGGTTAGCTTTTCCGTTTAGAGAAAGGCAGAATATTATACGATTTTAATAAAAACATTTAATAGTATTGTATATTTAAAAATTTTCGACACACAAAATTATCTTCTTTTCAAATCATAGCATCGGGATTACTCTTAAAATATTCTTCAAGTTTAGCAAATTATAGCCTCGATATTCCTATAAAAATGTATTTTAAAAATAAATAAATAAATAAATAGTCTAGTAAAGAATATATTTATAAGAAATAACAGCTAAGACAACCACAAGCAGTACTGATAAATTGACTGCAATGAAATATCTATAAGCCTACAGAATCCTAAACACTGCCCGAGGGCTTTTGATGTGCAATGTTATTATTATGCTAATTGCGGAGGTTCCTGCGTCCTTTGCCAGTTGCCCGCCTGAACGTCACTGGGAAATTGTTTACCATCCATTTATAACAATTTCGTGCGAGTGTATCTAATATCTATAAAGGTAGATGGAATGGGGGAAGACGTAAAACAAATAATTTAAGACGTCATAAAGAACCTCCCAGCCCAAAAGCCCATTTCACATTTACAGCTTCAAAAATGGTTTAATTTCCTTTTCGTGAATTAAGGTTGTTTAACGAGGTTTTATTGTATGTCAAAGTTTTTAATGAAACAATATCAGGAATGTTAACCTGGCTGGAAGATTTTGTTTTAATGGCAGGCCCAGAATGGTTCGTACTCATCGTGCCATCGACCCAAGGTTTGAACACTGGAAAGTAATAATTTCAAACGGGAAAATACCCTGATTTATTGTCTGCTGTACTTTATCGCATTCTTCACGATACACTCTTGAGTGACTTTGACATGTAAATCAACCTCGTAACTATATCAAACGCCTTTTTGAGTCTTCGTTTTCTCAGTGTTATGTAAGACTACAACACTTCTTTTCTGTTTGCCTGTTTAATTGTTTGTTTTGTTTTGTTTGGTTGTTTTTTGGTCTGACCAACCGACCCACTTTTACCAGGGGAAGAGGATTATCTCTCTAAAAGCTTGATTTAGCTTTAGTAGAACGTTACATTGGTGAATTGAACCAGCCAGCAAAAGAGGGATACATTCTCAAACACTGCGGTAAAAATAGAACAATATAGCAAATCATTATTTTGAAGATTTAAGCTTTTTTCAATTTTTCCGGCCTCGTGGGCTAGTTTCCTTTAAGCGATATCGAACAATGGAAGGGATTGCAAGACAAATTAGCAAAAGATAAACATAATAAACTAATCTCTATGGAAAAAAGAAACAACATCATAAAATTCCCAGTGATGATTTTGACGCCAACACACAACTTATCCTTCCTTTTACAATGGCACCATCCTACATAACTCTCTTTTTCAGAAATTTTTTTACCACTTCACAAGTCACTGCTTTGTTCACTTGACATAAAAACATGTTAGTTTAATAGATGTCTAGCGATCTAGCTAGAAACCTGTTTAAAAAATGTCAACAATAACCTTGGCTCTTGAAAAGTCATTAACACTTCTATTGAAATTCATTGCGACAAAAACACTGAAGCTTTACAGACAATGAAGTACGATATAATGAGCATTAAACGAATATTTGAACGATATTTAGTGTTTTCGCATCAAAGAGGGAGTACTTTGAGTTAATCCTTCTTGGTTTTACCAGCTCATATCGTCCTAAAACGTCTGCTCTTTAAATTTGAGCGTTAAGACATTGCCTTGTTTGTAGGTTAAACAGCCAAACATCCGTTTCCTATCATTGTTCGACACCGAATGACACAACGTGACTGGATTTTTAAATCTGTGACAAAAAAGGAAATATCTTATCACAAAAAAAGGTCTTGGCTGTAAGCCGACGTTCATTTTCAAAACTACAGTACAAACAACTTAAAGCACGTACGGTTTGACAACTGCTTTAGAAGCGGTCTGTTAAGGTAAGTCCGTTAAAGTATGTCCTCTTCACTTATCAGAGTAGAAGTAAGATTCAGTTGTCACAATTTAAAACTTCAAAACCCTTACAATTTAAAACTTCAAACCATGCCTTTAAAAACCTTGCTCAAAACGGTTTAGTAGAAGATACTAAAAGATTAATAATGGCAATCTAACCAATTTTTGGTTCTTTGATGTTAAATAAAATTTTATTCGCTTATTTTGTGAAAGTAACTAAATCTCACAGCGAAGTGTTCAGCAAGCGATGCAGTAACTCAAGATGAAAAAAAAGTTTCAATTTAAAAATAATAAGTTATGCCGAAATTTTCCTTTATCAATATTATCATTTTGACATACATCAGAAAAAACCCCAAAATATATCAGAAAAGAAAACGATAACATTAATTTATGATATTCATCAGTTGTAGGATTAGCTTCATCTTAAGTACCAACCTTAGTTTATTTGATTCTAACGCAGTATTTATCTGTGGATTAAAATATTGCATGTGACCATTCAAATGAAAGCTACGAGTTAAGTGCTGCTTTCATGTGGTACTGTTTATTATGCGGTACAAGCTAGGTTGTTAAGTTCTAACTTTTAAGCCTGTGGATTAAACCCTAGTGTGTGATCATTCAAATGAACACTACCGGAGAAGTTTTCATGTAGTGTCGTGTATTTCTTTTTTCTTTTTCTTTTTCTTTTTTTTTTTTTTACTATTCTGAAAAAAAAAAGACATTTTGGGCTTCCTTTGTATTTTGGTACTTTGGAAATTGTCAAGGTTTTAGGGGCTATTTCTGACAGTGAAACAATGACACTAACAGTAACAAGTTGGATCGGTTTGAAGACAACTGACGTTTGTCTGAATGTACAGCAGCTGCTCTTCAAACAAAAGGATCGAGAAAGCAATTAAAATGAAAAAAAGAAAAATACATTAGCTAGATTTTGTGCTACCAAAACGCGCAGCGGCACAGCAAGAAAAAAATGCTTTGAGTCAGACTCAAAGCTGGTTTTGTGTGTTTTGTACAAAAGTACTTAGAAATGCGTCATAGTCTCATTGAATTTTTCACGGAAAGGTAAAGCACACACTTTAATTAAAAGCAATTCCTGAAAAGAAGTCCAACCCATTTTATGACTCTCGGCAAACATGACACCATTTCTTGCAGTTTCTATTGGGTATAGTTTGAAATAATGCGACGCGATACAGTCAAGGGATGACTATTTTGTCGTATCTCTATCGATATCTGTCTCTCTGTCGTAAAAAGGGTTGGATACTAATTATAGTTGCAGCCAATTGCTGTTGAGAAATTTAAAACCACTTAAGTATTGGCATGTAAAGACTGTTACTCGTGTTGTCAGTCCTTAGTACGAAATGTATAGTTCAATTTTATTTTTAAATCGCTCGCGATACCTACATTTTGATTGCCTATATAATCCAACTCACTGAAGCTTTAGATTTCTCAATATTTTTTACTCGTCTGCAAAATTTAAAGCTTTTACCGCAGCAACGCGCTGTTATATGTTTGTCCAAAATGAAAGGTTTCCTTCCAACAAGACTTCACAATATGTATTCTTTTAAAAGCTAGGTTCTGTGGGCGTTATTAAGACTTCCTCTAAGTATCTTGGACGAGCAAACAAAATAGATAACAGATGTTTTTAATTGAAGAAGTTCTATAAGATTTCCTTGTAGAAGAGGGGACCAAATGGCTTGAGCGTACGTCACCACGAACGATTTTGATTTATCAATTTTCATTTTTTACTGAGAAGTACCGCTGTGTTGTTGTTGTTTTGTTTTAAGTCAACATTGCATGGTTCTGTATCAGCGCTGTGCCAGACAGTACACACTTTATTAACAAAATAGAAAAACTCTTAGTTACAAAAAAAAAAGATAATTGAAACAGAACATTAGATAAATTCACCCAGAATAACTTTAAAGCTAATCGAGCTGAGTGGAATTAAAAAGTATACGCTAAGAGTCAGTCGACTACATTTAAATGAACCTTTTGCATACACCTTAGGATTCTGTTAACAAAACAGCAACAGAGTATAAATCAAATGTACTAAAAAATTGCACTGTCCCGCATCAGCACTATGCTAAACAATAACAGACTTCATTTTGAAAGTGCATTTTGCGTCACTTGGAAGAAAAACAGTTCTCTTTTAACAAAGCATCAATAGAGGATATAAGATGTGTTGACAGTAATATGACACCGTTTTATCCACCTATTCTACTTTCCTGACAACAACATAATTAAGGGAGACCTGACGAAGAAAAAGCCGGCGAGCGGTTCACTAGGAATGAAATTAGAAATCAAACTCTTTATAAAAGCTTCATTGAATTGTGGTACAAGGCAAGAGGTTTTTTCTATAGTGAATTTAGATCAGTTACTCTTTTGACTGGCGTTTCTTTCAAGGAAGCACCTCAACGTTATAAGTTAAAAGACTCGTGTAACAAAAGAGATATTACCGCTGATCTTATCTGAGCTTGAATTGACAGGTTATGACATCAGTTGTAAATTTCCATATCGCAAGCAGAAACAATTAGAGCGTTGTTCATTTCATGTATTTACCCAAGGAAACCTCTGTGATCCATTTGCGTGTAGGACGAGTATTTGCTTCGAAATTGTAGACAAATGTCACACCGATATTACGTCAGTAAATGGATCGGTCAAATATTGGTAACAAAACTCGAGGTCAGCTCGTACATACTGTCATGTCGTAAAGTGGCTTTTGGCTTATCCCTCAAAGTCTTTTTAATTTTTTTTTTTTTTTTTTTTTTTTTTGCATTGTTTACTTTTCTATTTCCTTTTATTTTTTTAAATAAAATCATTCTTATTGTTAGCTACAGCTGGTGTGAAAACGTCCAACACCGGAACCTTAGCATAGACTATTTAGCCAAAAGTAATCTTGTTATCACTTCGAATCATCTTCAGTGTTCAATTTGGTCCTTAGATGTGATTAACGAAGCTGGAGGTTCACTTACATTTTGGGAAAAAAAAAGGTTCTTTAGCAGCTTTGTTCAATTCATAGTACCATTTGACAACAATGCTCTTAATCATAAGGTGAACTGTATAATCTGAAAATGGGGTGAAGAGAAAAAAGCCTCCATCTGAAATTTATCTTTGTGGGCAATATTCCAAAAAAGGATGTCCCTATTCATCGCATAGTTCATCATTCAACGAATAAAACCCTGCATTATGTTGTAGTTTTTGTATGAAAATGGGTTAATGTAACCCGTCAAATTACATCATTTAAATTGTGTATGCACGTCTGAAACTCTTAACAGAAGTTGCTGAATGAATTTTGCGCACTTTGTTTATTTAATGAAGCCACAAGATTGTTTTTATCTTTTCTTCCGTTTAGCGACATGATAACAATAAGATTGCGTGTACGTGGTCCTTTAATTTTCTTCCTACCCATCCTCTGCGCCTTTTAATTATCCTTATTGTTGTTGAGTTTTCTTTTGTTCTCCGCTTCTCTTTTGACAAGTAGACATCATCAATGAGTCAGAGGTAGCTTGCTGAGATACCTTACTTTAGTAGGACACCTCTGACTCATCGATAATATTTGCACCGGCTAAACCGTGCGAGATATTTGCGAAATTGCCTGAAAGTTAAGTAAGAGAAAATTTCTCTTTTCCATATGATACTTTTTATCTATTTATTTATCTACGTCGGTTTTTTTTTTTTTTTTTTTTGCTCAAGTGACCGAGAATTGATGTCTCTGGATGTTGGCTTGCAAGGTCTTGTTTTTTACTCTCAAATCGTTTATTTTGTTTCCGTAAGGTTTCATTTGACTGAGATGTTCATTGCTTGGAATTTTGCAAAACAATTGATCTTGTGTTTCCTGCTGTGTGCTGCTGTGACTGGTAAGTCCAATAAACCAATACCTGTGTTAAGTAGTTTTTGTTGTAAACAGTTACCATAAAAAATAATAAAACGTCAAAGTGTATTACCAAAATGTATTACCACAGGAATAATCATCGAAAAACTCGAAAATATATCTTACTAGAATGTTTTGCGTGTTTTATGGCGATATATTTTTATTTTAATGACTGAACAGTCTGTGCATAGGGTCAAGGTGTACATTAGCCAAAAACTGAGTTAAAACACTCACAGTGGTGCGGTACACAGTGTAATAAGATATTTGTTATCCAACTTAGGGTTACACTAGTATAATGTATTCTACAAGCACTCAGAGGCTCATCTTTAAAATTTTATTTTAACCTTATCAGTGGAAATCTGCAGTCTGCAAAGTTAAATATACTTGAAAAAAAATCATTGATAAAGTTAAAATTAATGTCACTATGTTGGGATATAGACAAGAAAAACTGCATATAATTTACATGTATGGCAAGAGAGATAGGATATAATTTGTTCAGCTGGGGCACGGTTTGCAGATTGCTTGTCAAATTTGATCCTGAGCACTACGAGGTTCAGTTACAGTAACAAAAAATGAATAAATATAGGAAATTGAAGGAAAAGATCAAATAGGGATTGGCTGTGACGTGATATCATGAAAAAGTATATTTTCCAGAGGTGAGTATAAGAATGGAACATTCTGACTGGTCGAAAAGTTCATCATATGACGCTATATTCACCTCGCTAGAGCTTGGTTACTAAGCTCGCCATCTTTGCCATCTCGGCAAGTAAACTTGACGGACAGTTGCCAAATGAAGTTTTCATTTATTCGAAAGACATCACTCCAAGTCCAGGATATTTGAAAGGATGGAGAATTTTCAAAATGACTGCTGTCGCCCCTGGACCAAATATCTATTCAAGAACTCGTATTCAAGGCTTTCAGTTAAGAATCGTAAATGCAGTGGTTGCGTCGATCGCCAGCAAGTCAGATGGATTGACCGAAATTTATTTTTCTTCAAACTGAAAGCTACTCATTTTTGCGGTTACTGGCTTCTAGAAATTCACCAATACGTCATCATGTTCGTTAGTAAGTAAGTACGTAAGATAGTCCGTGACTATCCGGATGTCACGAAGCAAGGCCGAAAATACCTCGAGATTTGCTCAAGTTCTTTTGATCGACTTTCACCTTCAAAACGCGAGTTTTGATGAAAATAACTTCTTTTACTGCTTAAAATTGGAGTGAAAAAATTGCGAATTTACAAGTAGAAACATAGCGTTACGGAGCATAACGACTGCCTACGATCCCTAACCGCTGACCGCACGAAGGACATTGCAGACTCGTTTTCCCACGCTCTTCGAGTTGACGAGACATTGTTTGGATAATCAGGTGAGTAGCCGCAATGTTTTCTCATATTTCTATTTTTCTTTCTTTCTCATATAACCAGGCAAAGCTTTCACCGAATGTGCCAAGGTATTTTTCTCAAAGAATCTTGCAGGTTTCCGAAAGGTTTTGACTGGAAATATGATTGTTACGTGCCTTGAAAGTATCCATCGTGTAAATAAATGCACATTCTCAAATTGATGTTTATTTCATTCTCTCGTACGGCATGTACTAAAACCCGAAACAACGAAACGAAACGACCGAAACGAAACGAACGAAACGACCGAAACGAAACCATCGAAACAAGCGAAACGACCGAAACGAGTAAAATAGTACGTAAATAAATTTAAAAAGTTTAAAAAAAGCCTTGATCTCTAGCACGTTACTATGGCAGCCGGATCTCGTACCCAGATCCTGCTCTTAAGCCACATGTGTCACATCGTGACATCACAAACCTGAAAGGTGGATGAGCGCAAGCGTGTCGAGCAGGAAGACATCGAGAAAAAGGTGGGTATTCTCACATTCTGAATGGTATTCTAGCTAAAACAAGAAATCTAAATTCAAAGAAAGGTTTTCTGGTCGTATCGTGGATTCTTAGACGGTGGCGAATCGAATGGTCTTTTCGAGAACGACTTTGCAGCATTCTTCGTGCTAACCAGGACTTTCTTTAATATATATCTCTACAGAAAAACGAGGGCGACTTCACTTAATCATATTAACGTCAGGCCTTCGTGACTCCTGCAGTTCTCAAAGTAATTCCTTATTAGGCGCTCAGCTTCACGGATACTCTTGAGATGGTGTTTCCGTACATCTTGGGCTCGGCGTTGTCGATTCGCCACCGCCTAAGAATCCACGATACGACCAGGAAACCTTTCTTTGAAATTAAATTTTAGCTAGAATGCCATTCAAAATTTGAAAAATACTCACCTTTTCCTCGATGTCTTCGTGGTCGTCGTCGACACCCTTGCGCTCATTCATCTTTCAGGTTTGAGATGTAACGATGTCACACATGTGGATCTAGATACGAGATCAGGCTGCCATAGCAACGAGGCAGAGATCAAGGCTGTTTTTTTTTTTTTTTTTTT